TGCAGGAGTCAAAAGAAACAGCGTCACATTTAAGGTCGCAACCACCACTATAATAAGCTAGCCCCTTAAATGATCAATGAAATGAAAAATAGTTTACATTTAGCACCTATTTTTATTCAATTTTTGCAACTCACATATTAATACTATTATAGATCAAATATATTTACCAGCCTTCAATTTTGTAAATTTCAGATTTATTCCCATATATTCCCGTTAATTCCCATGGAAAATTTCCAACTTTGAAAATTCCCGAAATTTTGCAACCCAATTGGCAACACTAGCCCAAACTAACTTTTAGTCAACCTGTTGCGCTTGACTGTTTTTTTAACCAAGCTGTAATTATGTACATGTTTACAGTAAAGATGATCTGTTTAAATCACTCTGCATGTGGTTTCCACTGCTTTTTGCAGCCAGTCTCGAGTAGACATTAAAAGAGCTATAATTTGTAAGCACTTTTACGTTGGCTTCATTTATCAAAACCCAAGGTTGCTGCTTGGTTTACATAAGGGGTCGTAGTGGTTTTTCACGCCAATTGCCGCCCAACATAAAATAGTGAAGCCAAAGAAGAACAAGTTTAACAGCAGACATAGCCAGCTAGCTGTAATGTTGAAAATGAGGTTCAAGGACATTGTAAATGCAGAAGTGAAAGTAAAAAGAAGTCTGTGCGGCTCTAACTGCAAAGCAAGATCCATAAAGCTTATGTAGTCCATTCATACCTGACTAACAGCAGTTTCAACATGAGCAAGAAGGCTGTAGCAGTGAGGAGCAGACTGTTATTAGGTGAGTCATGAGTCTGTGTCCTGCTGTCTTCTTAGTTTTTCCTTTAAGACTGTGATTTGGCGTAATCTGATCATTTTAACCACAAGGTACGACTTGAAAATTGCAGCTTGCCATGGTGAATGTGCAGTGACAGAAGGAGATATCCTGGTGAAACTGGTTTGAACAAGGATGTTTAGTCAAAGTTTTGAAATAGAGGTTGAAAAATCTTGGATGTCTTTCTTGACATATTTCCATTTCAGAGGCATTCACATAAAAGGTATAAGTATCTCTATTTCCGCTTGAGTGTCTAAAGTGTGTACTTATTCCAGTTCGTGTCATTCCCCTTATGATGCAAATCTATCCAGTTTGCTTTTCCAATATCTTCTCTCAACGCAAACTCATAAATGCAAACCCAACACGGAGCCAAATTTATCCAAACGCCATGTTATGTTAACTCCAGCTTCTTTCACATCTTTCCAATAAAGAGCAGGGGGAGGACTCCACTTACACCCTTTACATTACTGCCAGAGAAAAAAGAAGAGGAGGAGGAGGAAGATGGATTTTTTATCTTATATTTTAATTACTTTTTTTTTTCAAATCCAGCTCACTCCCACTATGATCTAGGATTTCATATCCACTGCAAGACAGCAGCTTCATATCGAGTCCCGCTAACAAACCGACAATAAAATAAACAATTCATAATAAGTGACGTGCAATCTAAGCAAAAAGGAAGCAGGAGGGCAGGAAAGACGTGGGGGGAAGAGGGATGCGCGAGAGGTTTCAAAATGATGTGCTAGCAGCTGCCTGCTGTGAACGAGCCCTCTCAGCATCCAGGTCCTCATTGGCTGAGATGACTTAGAGTGGCGCCACGGGCCCTTCACTCTCCTCCAACAGCATCCTCCATCTCCGTCTTCTCCCTATTAATCTTTCACTCGTATTCCTTCTCTTTCTTCCACTTCCTCCCGTTTCTCCCTCTTTTTTTTTATCGGCTTCCTCTTCTGATTCTTTTTCCCCTCATCAGCCGAGCATCCTCTTCATATCTTCCCATTTTTCTCTCTATCTCACTCCCCCCTCTTTCTCTCTGTGGGTGTCATTACACTGGATACTAATCTAGATTGCCCTTCTGCCTGTCACACTTGTGTGCTCAGGTCCACATGTACATATCCCACACTTATCACTCGCTCCCCCTAGCCTCCGCACGCTGTCCAAGCTGTCAGCTTCACCCACCCGTAGCAGCTGCACTGTTTGCTCTGGGCTTTGGGCGAATAAACAGGTCTCCTGTTGTTCCGTCCATCTCCTCGCTGCCCCCTGTGCGTGGAGTGTCGCTGTCAGGATTAAGGCCTCGTAATGAAGAGTAGAGGGAGATCCGCGGACCCCCAGGCTGGTGTCGAATAGCGCTCAGACAGATTAACGCAGCGCATAAGTGTGTGGTTGCTACACAGTTTGTGATTTGACAAACTCATTTCCAGGGAAATGCTCTCCGGGTTGCTGCAAAGCTAGCAATATGCACAGTGAGCTCGAGTGTGATTGCTACATAAGGAAACAGATGAGCTGACCATATTCACACGGACCAACATGAGACTCAGAGTTAGGGGCTCAAATCCTGTCTTGATATCATACCGGCCATTTTTTTTATCCATTTCCTAAAATGTACATGACTGTGCAAGTGACTGAATGCTAACAGTTTACAATATAAAGGGACTAATTTGAAGATAGATTTACTCAATATAAAGAAAAATTAAAAGACTCCATGTTTACTGTAATGTTAGCTAAAAAGCGTTCACATTCTACAGTTGACTTTTGTTAAATTTCCTCTGCTGTGGGTCCATCTTTTCAATGTTTACAGTCGGTATGTTTACATGACACTCAAGAAAACCGAATTATTGCCCTACTACCATTAAGACCAGACAACTGAAGTGCATGTAAACACCTTCATTTGACTATAATCGGAGTTTGAGAACTCTGATTGGAGTAGGAGAACTCTGATTAAGACACGCAGATAATGCGATTGGAATTCGATTTTCTCCACCATGTAACCAGCGTAGTTGGAGTATGATCGGACAATTCGCCACACCCCGTAACCCTGGAACAAAAACACCAAGAAGGGGAGTAGTGTGCATCTCATCTGCAGAAAAAGTAGCGTGTACATCATGTACAACAAAAACAACACTGTACGATGCTCCATCTCCTTGCTCGTTGTAGCGACTTCTGATGTCTGCACGGTCCTGCTGTTGTGGTTGGGTCAACTGGAAACAGCGCCGCTGAAAAGACCCATCTCGACACCTAGTTTTGGGGAGGAGGACACGTTCACGTCTATAATTCGATTTTCTCAGCTTCATCTACGCGGACAAGGAGAGAAGTCCAATTCGGCAGAAAAAAACGAATTATGAGCTTAGTCCGATGAAGCTGTGCATGTAAACGCACTGACTGTCTTTTCAGTCACTGATTCGTCAAAAAGTCCCCGTTAGATAGAACTTCCTCAATTATTTGCAACACTGTACAATGGCCTTTTAATTTTATAACACGTTTGACATTCAAGAATCAAAACCTGAATGTGCAAACATTGACATGTTGACTCAGTATTCTGGGCCGTATGCTCACCATATCATTACATTCAATAGTGTGAATCCCTGTAGAGAAGCAGAAAAGGGAAATAAAATCTTCGTGTTCCCTGAAGATGTCTCTCACAAACACTTAAAGGTGCTGGACTAGATAGCATGAAACATTGAGAAAACAGCCCTGAAATCAGGTGTAACCCTAATAAACACAGAGCCGCGCGGTGCTGGGTAACTGTCCACTTTAATTGCACATTTTCCCACAGTAATTGACGGAATAATTAAGACTCTGAGGAGTCACTGAAACCATCTGCGCAGGTAAAAGAGGATGTCCAAGAGCAGCAGAGAGAAAGAGAATCGGTGAGACTAGCGGGGTAATGAAGAGGAGGAGGGTTTGCGAGAGACAGATCGAAACAGAGGGCGAGACTAAGGAGAATACGAGGGAGAACAAGAGTGCAAATGTGGAGCAAGGAGGAGACAGGGAGAAAGAGGAGTGGAAGAAATGAACTCATTAGTTTCAGTGTTATGCACAGAGGAGGAACGGCTATGCTACATCTGACTCCAGCCTAACAATTTTACCCAAGATGGAGAGAGCTGAAGTTAAGATGTACACTCTGACTTATCTGCATGTTATATTCAGTGGGAAAAACAACGGAACACAAGTGAGGATGAAAAAAAGACACTCTCATGTGTCTCCTGATGCTCCTTATTCATGCAAACATTTATTTTTCTGTCCGATAGAAACACAAACGGGCCATCTGGGTTCCTCCAAGCAACAGCTAACAGCTAGCGGCTAAAAACCACCACTGGTCTGTGTTTGTGCATGCTAGTTTTACAAATTGTTGGCACTGCCTAACATCATGACCGGCTGACAGGAAGATTAAAGAGATTTGTTTTAAAGTCTCTACCATGCCACAGTGTTTGCTTTCTGATTTGTTTTTCCCTCCTAGGCTCCCTGCTGTGCGTCTGTAGCTACATTCATTCTGTCTGTGTTTGAGATCCACAAGCTACTCACTAATGAGAGTGAAATTTAGTTTTTGGTGCGCAACAAAGCAGAGGAAAGTGAGTGTTGTGTGTGTGTGAGCATGTGTGCAGGTAAACCTAGTAGAAACGTAGCTATTTATCACAGAACTGAATTATTAACTATTTTACCAAGCAGTAAAACAAAAGAGGTGTGTGTTTATCTGTCAGGGTATGTGACAACACTAAGACTGAGCAAAAATCTGTGATATTTTTATCATAGGGGTTTATCACTTTTATGTGCAGAGCCAAGAAATCTGATGGAACCACAAAGACTATCCAAAATATGTGAAATGTCACTTCTCTCTCTTATCTCTATCTCTCAGTCTGCAGCTTTAGCAACTTCTACCTGTCTTCTACATATCGAACACAGGCTTCAGATAACAACTGAGTCTGCACTTACATTTGACAACAAGCACCTGGAAAATTCTAGTATTTCATAGTATACAGTATAGCTGTAAAGCTGAATGCCAACAGGGTTGAAAAAAAAATATATTTGAAACAACATCTCAACCACCACAACTAATGAATGAGACCAACATGGAAAAAGAGACAAAAAACTGCAGTTCTTTAAGCAACCACTAGAGGTTGGCTCGAAAATGCTGGGGGTGCCTTAAAGGGATATTCCAGCGTAAAATTGAGTTAAGGTCAAAGACACCATAACACAGTTAGACACCCCGTCGAGAGATGAATGTTGCAGACTGCTTGCTTTTCTAGTTATACCAACTTTAGTAATGACCGCAGGATAGCAATACACAGCGGTCTCAGGAGCCACACGTTCAAACTAAAAGCCACTCTATAGCCATATCAACAGTACATATAGGGTCCTAGCCACAGCACTAGCCACCAAACATCTTCTTAGCTTTGCCTGATTTCTTTAGCAAAGAGACCAAAGACAATTCACCCACTCTCTTCCAGCAGCCGCTTGTTTGTACGGAGACCTCAGACGAGTCCATTACGTACTGCTGTGGGGTGACGCAGCTCAAGGAAGAACATTTATGATCATTTCTTCATTGAAATGCAATTAGACCAAGACTCTGAGGCAGAAGAACTACCACGTCTGCAGTGCAAAATGATTAATATGATGATTATTACTTAAATGAAATGATAAAGTAATTAGTAAATTCTTGAGTTCACACCGGAATATCATTTTAAAGGGACAGTGGTTTAAATGACTCATCTCATACAGAGGCTGCAAGACTGCAACTTGCTGTCTACACTGCTCCATCTTAGCGACTTTGATTGAGCTCAATAACCTTCATCCAAATATGGCCAGTTCGCATTTCTACATATTAAGAGAGAAAAATGGCAAACCAACTGAATGCGTCACAGCGGAAATTACCTTTGAAATGTTGATAACAGTGTTGAGCTCACTATGCTAACTGGTTAGCAACCTGTTGCCAAGCGACAAGAATGGTGCAAAGTAAGGCCATCGTCAGGATAGTGACTCACAGTACTCACACAATTCCCAGAGGAGAAGACTGTCTTAGTTCAGTCCAGTCTGACTGGTCTACGAAGGACACAATGGTCAAGTCCAGTCGAAGGTTGCAGCCCCTGGACTGGGGCACAACTACTGTTTTCCAATTTGGAGTCTGCATTCTTTGCATGTGATGCAAACAGGAAATCCTCATTGATCAGCAGGTCTCACTACAGTCTAGCCTGAGCAGCTGCAATAGGCTGTAAAGACTGGGTTCTCTTTTGATGGTGTGCAGTAACAGACAGAGGTTTGTCTCTAAAATGTGAACCTTCTGTATACAAAGATTTGAATAAGTGATGATTTTATGGAAAAAATTATATGCAAAATTAAATTTTTTTGTTTGTATTCTCCTTAAGCAACCATTCTCATTTTGGTTCCCCACACTCGCCGCCCACGAGTCGATGTTGTTCCTCTTGCCAAAGCTTAACATTTAAACAGCTTGTCATGGGACACTGATGAAAAACATTCATCCAATTACTGCTCCTTTTTCATAATCCAAATCATACTATTGTTCCGTAATCCATTTTTGGAGGAAAAAGGCTGGGTTGTAATTATGGCATTATTTAGGTGCATAGCATATAATCCGCATTTTAGTTTAATGAGACTGTGTCACACTATCTATATGCTGTCGCTGTTTTTCTCCCTGTCTCACAGTTTTTCTCGTCTTAGTTTTCCAGGATCTAGGAAAGGAGACATTAACCCGTAATAAAAGAAAGAGGATGGAATCAACAGGGGAGGAAATGCGTTGTAAAAGGATGGGTGGGGAGGCAGTCAACAGGCCTCAGCTCCCACAACATCAAGGCAGTCCCTGGAGGAAAAAGAGAGGAAGGGAGCCAAGTCCACAGAGGCCTGCGGGTAGGGCCAGAATACATTACTGTCATCGACAGCACCGTTCCCCAGACTCACACAGCAAGAAAGTAGTGCTGAGTGCGAGGGGAACGCAGAACACGACCAATTCTATAGAACTACAAAGCGATGCAGCTGTCAGTGGGGCTGTGAATGATGTAGAGGATGAGCTTGGGGGTATAAGCATGTGTATGTGTGTGAGTGAATGAGAGTGTGTAGTGGTGGGTGGTGGTGCAGAGGAGGTACACACTGTAAAGGCTGATAGTAAGTAATTAACATACAAATGTGATCTCACTGATGAATGAATGATTAGATATTTCATTAGCTTTCATTGATGAAAGACAGCCTCATTTCTAAAGCATGAATGGAAATCAAGAAAGAGGCTAAACCAAGACACTGTGCGACATAGCAACAGAGACGTGGACTAAAGACTCTGTCCTTCTGATTGGTCCTCATGCAAAAAAAAAAAGAAAATAAGTATTAGCATACTGGTCCTTTTTAAAAGCTCATTCAAGAAGACTCTGCTGCCAAATCTTTGGGTTTAAAACCTGCCGAACATGGAGGTGGATATTTTAAAGGAATAATCTGTGCTTTAATGTTAACTACATGACAAAAACAGCTCATACTGAAATAGTGTTTTTTGTAAATATTATGGACTTTTAATATTTGTGAACAGAAATTTTTCACTCCTTCTTTTAATTTTACTTGCTCTGTTGTTTCAAATATCGACTCTATTATCGATATCACAATAATATTGCTATGGTGATATTTTCCACGATAATTCTTCCGAGAAAATCTGATACAGTGACAGCCCTGTTACAAAAAGTTATGTAGTGGTCAGATGAGCAAAAAGTGGACTGGCTGTTTACATTTTTGTTCAAACTTGTTAATTTTGTCTCAAAAGCAAGGAAAAGAAAGAAAACAGACTCTTTAACCAGTTAAAGTTTATGTCTTCCATTAAGTTTTCTTCTTTTGTACTATGATATTGACCTGTCGTGCGCTCTGACCCTGGATTGTATGAACTCATGGTGCCATTATACGTAGACTCCACATATAATACATGTATGACAGAATAATAAAACAACTTCAAAGTTTCTGGTAGACTGTACTGTAACTTATCACCAGCTGCCAGTCCCCTTGCCTTCAGTGTATTACAGTTCCTCTTGTCGAAATAATACCAAACATGTCATTTGAAGCTTTAAATTGATCCAAACTCTTTAGTCTCTGAGCAAAATAAAGACAACACTGTTGGCCTGACTGAACACAGAGGACACAGAGCAAGGCAATGGTGCAAACTTCCTTTTATCATTGTACCTTTTATTAACTGTAGTAATTCTGAATGTAATAACAGTGATTTACTGAAGCTCGCTGCACCATACGCTCAGCCGTAAGTCAATAAGGAGAAAATCAGGACTTGCTCTTTCCACTTAAAGCTCTAATAAATTTGGTTTCCTTTTTGGCCAGTATACTCTGACCTTTGGTGTTATTACGGCGGGAAATAGATTTAGCGTACATGTTGAGAGTCTCATTTTGCAGTTCAAACATCTGCTATCTTCACATTCCTTCTGCAAGAAAGTGTCACACAGCCGCCAACACTTATAAGGGAATTTTCTTACAGTAGGAGTGTTATTATTCTAAGCAGGTATTTGAGATATGATATACGTAATTTTATTACAAACTCATTTTAAAGCTAAAAAAGATGAAGGAGACACCGCTGCTGAAGTGCTCCTGTGTCCTTGCGCAGCTATTATTAACACAAGAAAAATGGAATATAGAAGTTGAGATGAATGGGATTAGTGTCTTAACGCTGCTCTTTTCAAACATTAGCTAGATCCGACAGTCCCTGCCCTCTTCAGGTTATTAAATTGCCCATTCAGGGCATCCATCTCTTCTGATAATTACGAGCTGCCTGGAAAGATATTCCTTTTATTTAACAATTACATGTCTCTACGATAGTCTAAGTGTAAAGATATATTTCCTCCTTCCTGTGCTGAGATGTATCTGGCCCAGTTTTCTGCTGTCTGCTCCTCTTAGATCTAAAAAGCTTTGGCTACAGAAGGGGAGGGCTGTGAAGTCTTTAAAGCAGCTCTGAATCTCTAAAGAAGAGGGGAGCTCCAGGAGGAAAAGTGAAAGGAAAGAGGGATAAAGTAGAGGAGAAAGGAGCAGGGATAAAAAGGATGTAGAGAGGAGTACAGAGATACTGAGATACACAAATACAAAGTGTGTCCATGCGAGGCTGAGGGAGGGAGGGAGGGAGGACCATTCAGCGCAGTCAGAGCTGGGTGCAGTGACTGTGAAAGTGCTTAAATAAACACTGCAAGAGAGCAAGAAAGGGGAGGAGGAAGGGGGAGAAAGTGAGCGATTGGGTCCCTCCGAGGGAAAGAAAGCAGAAGAGGAGAGTGGATGCAGGTTATTTTTTAAGTAAGCGAGAAGAAGAAGAAGAGGAGAGTCATTAAGGTGAGAGACACAGGAGTAAAGAGAGTGAAGTAGACGGTGCGTGTCACCAAAATAGAGAGACAAAGGGCCGGATAATAAGAAAGGGAATCTAAGGTGGAGCATTTTAAAAGATTGAGGCGATGTAAGTGAAATGTGGTTGGAAGAGAAGAGGGGGGAAAAAAAGAGAGTGAAGAGAGTGAATCGGTGGAAACAGAAACGATGACTGCCAGAGGGGGAGAAAATGCCTCAGGGACAGCTTCAGCCTTAACTCACGTAACACCACTGCGACAGGAAAACCTTTTACCTGCAATCCAGGTGATTTTCATATTCACTTCAGGCTTGTGCTGGCCCAGTCTTTGGAGAGGCAGAGTCACGACTCTACGAGGATTATACTACCTATTTAAACTAAGTGACATTTACAAAAACAAATACAAGTTTAACAAAAGGTGCTGTATAAAGGTCTGTGCTTTTTATTAGTCTTTCTAACACAGTCAGTCTGTTTTAGCAACCTGGAAGGTCGATATGGCGTCTGTACGTGCCCTCCAACATATAGAAAACGGTATGTGTATTTAAGATAAAGAGCTCCTCTTCATACCCAGCACATGAAATATTCATGTACATTTTGCCCTGTATGTGCATGGGCTCATGGATTATTCAGAACAAAGTAAGGCGCTCATTCAAGCTAATTTAAATCATACTTAAGTCTTGAAAGCACAATTAAGATTGACTCATTTTGACTGGATTTTATTACTAATTTGCTGGCCATATTTATGAGTTTTTGGCCCACTAATAAAAGTCTAGTTTAGCTCTCTCTAGTGCCAGTAAGGAGACAATGAATAAGAGCTTGGTAGGAGATAACAGCAAGGAAACAGTTTTTTCATCAGCAAGCTATTCCTACCAAAGAATGAGACCAAAAGACAGTGTACTTTAGGAGGAACTGGTTGAACTCAGTGTTTGAAGTTTACCTCTGATGTGCAGAGACTTACATCTGTGGTGCCAGTGGGCTTTTGGTTCAAATCTGACCCCTAACCCCCAATTTCCACTGCATGAACTGCCTCAATTCTTCGTGGCATAGATTCAACAAGGTGCTGGAAGCATTCCTCAGAGAGCTTGGTCCATATTGACATGATGGCATCACACAGTTGCCGCAGATTTGTCGGCTGCACATCCATGATGCGAATCTCCTGTTCCACCACATCCCAAAGATGCTCTATTGGATTGAGATCTGGTGACTGTGGAGGCCATTTGAGTACAGTGAACTCATTGTCATGTTCAAGAAACCAGTCTGTGATGATTCCAGCTTTATGACATGGCGCATTATCCTGCTGAAAGTAGCCATCAGAGGTTGGGTACATTGTGGTCATAAAGGGATGGACATGGTCAGCAACAATACTCAGGTAGGCTGTGGCGTTGCAACGATGCTCAATTGGTACCAAGGGGCCCAAAGAGTGCCAAGAAAATATTCCCCACACCATGACACCACCACCACCAGCCTGAACCGTTGATACAAGGCAGGATGGATCCATGCTTTCATGTTGTTGACGCCAAATTCTGACCCTACCATCCGAATGTCGCAGCAGAAATCGAGACTCATCAGACCAGGCAACGTTTTTCCAATCTTCTATTGTCCAATTTCGATGAGCTTGTGCAAATTGTAGCCTCAGTTTCCTGTTCTTAGCTGAAAGGAGTGGCACCCGGCGTGGTCTTCTGCTGCTGTAGCCCATCTGCCTCAAAGTTCGACGTACTGTGCGTTCAGAGATGCTCTTCTGCCTACCTTGGTTGTAACGGGTGGTTATTTGAGTCACTGTTGCCTTTCTATCAGCTCGAAACCAGTCTGGCCATTCTCCTCTGACCTCTGGCATCAACAAGGCATTTCCGCCCACAGAACTGCCGCTCACTGGATATTTTTTCTTTTTCGGACCATTCTCTGTAAACCCTAGAGATGGTTGTGCGTGAAAATCCCAGTAGATCAGCAGTTTCTGAAATACTCAGACCAGCCCTTCTGAAACCAACAACCGTGCCACGTTCAAAGTCACTCAAATCACCTTTCTTCCCCATACTGATGCTCGGTTTGAACTGCAGGAGATTGTCTTGACCATGTCTACATGCCTAAATGCACTAAGTTGCCGCCATGTGATTGGCTGATTAGAAATTAAGTGTTAACGAGCAGTTGGACAGTGTACCTAATAAAGTGGCCGGTGAGTGTACATCTGTGGTGCCAGTGGGCTTTTGGTTCAAATCTGACCCCTAACCCCCAATTTCCACTGCATGAAGGCGATTTTCGCTGTCCGCCAATTCCTACCGGATCCGTTTGTGAATCACGAGAACTTTTAGAATCAGTATCTCAACATTCATGGTGTCATCGGGGTGAAATGTTGTCTAAAAACCTTTTACTTGTCCGTCCCTGCCCATTTGTATAGTGTAAAATACGATCCGCCTGAAACACGTGATGCTTTATTTCGAAAAGAAGCCAGATGTTTTGTTTTGCGTCTGTACCCAACTTCCTTTCCAGCATGGACTAATCTGTGCTGAATTTATGCGGCATGCCCCGGCGTCGAGAGAAAAATAGAACTCTTGTGATCAGCTGCAGAGTCTGCCAAACCGCAGAAGAACCGAAAGAAGCCGGTGGAAATTGACACAATAACTTGAATGGTTACGATCAGCTGCGATCGGCGGATACGTCCTTTTTGTAGCTGTTCTGGATGCGGTGGAAATTGGGGGTTAGCCTCTGTAGTGTCACTAACCACTCTACTCAATCTACTGTCCTGTCCTCTTGATAAAGGCATAAAAAGCCCCAAAAAGTCAGTCCTGTACATGTCGTAGTCGTGTTTTCTTCAAAAAAAAAGAAAACTTTGACCTTCTTGATTTCAAATGTCTTCTCCTCTTTTGCTCCTCTCCAATGTGGGGTCCCCCAGGGGTCGATCTTGGGTCCTCTTTTATTTATTGTATACATACTACTCCACTGCAGGAAGCAAACAAAGCTGAAATATTATATGTGTAAAGAGGACAGAGCTGAGCCCAAAATGTGTTTTTGAAGTTACAACAATCTGCCTGGATAATTTTGTTGTGTTTATTTTTTGTTCTCTTGTTGGAAAACAATTTTTTACATATTACCAGAGCTGTGAAATCAAACTTTTATATCTCTGTTGTAATGAGACAATAAAATTCAGCCTTCCTCCCTGCAATCATAACTCTACAGTTAGAGATTTTAAACCACTTTAAAATCATTCAGGTCAACTCCTGTTGTTTTTTTAAATGCGCTGAAAAAATAACAGGAGTTGACTTGAATAGAAAAAAAGTGATTATTTAGTTGCAATAAATTTCCACTCTCAAGATAACATCACACCAGAAAAAGATTGCACAGTTCTTCGTTTTCATTATTTTCACACATTTTGGAGATGATTTAATATCCTCCGTGAGAAGGACTTCAGAGATGTGATAAAACAATATACATCAAAGGCTCGTGTTACAGCTGTATATTTCTCCATTTGTTCCCTTTCTTGTTCTTTTGTCTTCAGGCACTGTACCACTGGAAGTCAGTCAGGAGCACCTGGAGTCAGATCAGTGCTTAAAAGCCTCTGTGCTGACTTCACGACACAGAGGCTTTTGGAGTGGGGGATGGCTGCCCTGCTGCCTCTCTGACGGGGATTCTAGTACTTTTATCATGATTTTTTGTTTGAAAGACTTCTTATTTAATGATTCACTATTCTGCCTTATTAGACTCTCACATGGTTTGTTTTTCAAGGAGTTTCTTGTGTCTCATTAAGATCAGTTTGTGGAAAGTTGTTCGCCCATCGTGGCTGCCTTGGTGCAAAAAATCAGTAACTTTTAATCGAAAAACCAAACAGAATTTGATACACCACTTCACCGGTCCATAACCCAACACAGTAAAGACAAATATCAAGATAAATATCATGGATTTGTATAACTGTAGTCAGTCATACAAAGTTAACATGAAGAGAAGTTAGTGTTTTAGAGTGTAAGCAGAAAACTGAAACAGCTTTACACACAAGTTGGTCATGCCTGTCAAACACTGAGATATGCATGTATTTTTAAACATGCCCATTTTCAAAGGAGACCTATTTTTACCTTTCATTATGTCAGCCCAGGACCTATAGAGTAGCTTTCCATGACCTGCAGCTTAAAAACTCTTTATATTTTATTCCTGTCAGTTGAAACCTACAGTATGTTTCAGCAGCATATAGGCTCTGCAGACGCAGCTTGTGGGTGTTACTTTTCACACAGCTTTGAGGTCATGAATCAAACTGAAAGTTATGCCATAACAGAAAGTATCTGAGGCTGGCTGTTAGCACCCACTTAGCTCAGGGTTTGTCCTTACAGGGATATTCCAGCCTAAAATTAAGTTTTTAGGCTGGAAGTTAAGACACCATAACACCGAGTTAGACACCCCGTCGAAAGATGAGTGTTGCTTCTCTAGTTACATCAACTTCAGTAACGACCACACGATAGCAACACACAGCGGTCTCAGGAGCCACAGGCTCAACCAAAACGCCCCTCTATAGCCACAAATAACGTTCAGAACAGCCCCTAACTTCATCAACAGTACATATAGGGTCCCAGCCACAGTACTAGCCACCAAACATCTTTTTAACTTTGCCTGATTTCTTTAGCAAAGAGACTAAACACAACTCACCTACTCTCCTTCAGCAGCAACTTGTTTGTATGGAGACCTCAGACAGTCCATCACCGACTGCAGCGGAGTGACGCAGCTCAAGGAAGAACATTTATGATTACGTTATTATTTCCTTGAATTAATAATCATCATATTAATCATTTTGCACTGCAGACATGGTAGTTCTTCTGCCTTAGCGTCTCGGTCTGATTGCATTTCCATGAAGAAATGATCATAAATGTTCTTCAAGATTGACGTTCAAGATTGCTCATGATATGTATAAAGTATGGATCAACATAATAACATTGTGCACCGTGCATTGTGTATCATATCGTGAGTCATCTGGTGGAGCCCATCCCTACACTGAATTGTCATACTTGTGCTGCAAACTCTTAAGGAAACTGTGCCTCATCTGAGTGAGTATTTGTGCTTCTTTGGTTGTGTTTCCGTAAGTATGAAGTCCCCATGTGCGCCCCCAGCTGCAGCTGTCGGTTCCTGTCCGTCGTCCTCGGACCAAAGGTCAGCAGCTCAACTGTCACATTTAGTCTGTCACAGGATCTGCTCTGTCTTACAACAACGGTGTGAGGTTCAAGCTCGGCTGACGACACCAGACCGCTCCGGCGTGGGCGGCATGTGAGCCGGGACCAGAGTGACAGGACTGGGCTGAAAAATGGCAGCAGACACGAGGGTCACAGAGCCAAAGGGCCATGAAGAGAGTCACAGGGATGGAGAAAACATAGACAGGGTGACGGAGGATAACCAGAGGAGAGGACAACTTCTGTGGGTAGCATGTGCGACGCCCTCATGCTCTCTTGCTCCGTCTCCCTGTATCCCTCTCCTTCCTCACACCTGACTCTGCCTTCCTCTCCTCACTGCTTTGTGTTTCCTGCTTCTCACTCTTCCTCCCTCTCTCTGCTGCTCGCTCTACCGCTCTGTTGGCTCCAGGCGATGCTGTCCGTTCCCCTCTCTCACCCCGTGATGGAGGGATGGCTGGTGGAGTGAAGGGGGTGATGGAGCGATGGAGGCCTTCAGCACAGAGAGAGCACACTCTCACTTCCCTCTGTTGCCGTCTTTTGCTGCCCCTGAACATCACTCTGATTAATTATTTATTGTCTGTACGTTGACCTACAGAATATCACAGCTGCCTTGTTGTTACATTAAAAGGCTCATCCTCCCAGTGGACTAAAAAACATTCTGCGGTATCTTTCCACAGAGATAGTTTTGGTTTTATTTTTCAGTTTCGGCCTCTCAGAGTTCTGCCTCTGCTGAGTTATATTGAACTTTATCTGTGGTGGAGAGAGGATCAAAAAGCTCTCACCAAAAAACACTGTGTTCATGTTGCTACCCTGTTAGGCAAGATGGCATCACTCACAGGCACAGCAGCTTTGCTAGCTACCATATTGTAACTCCCTTGAACACTACCAGTTCAAGGCAGATTTTTAGCTTCTTTCTACCGTTGTGTGTAAAGATACAGAGATGGAAGAGTTGGGTAAACCGATTCTGCTGCTTCACTGGCATTTAAAGCAGTTAAAGAGAGTTAAAAGGGGCTTAAATGAGGCATAAAAGAGATGTAACTGACGCACATGTAAATGACAGAGAACGTAGGATGCAACAGCGCCATGCATACATGCAAGGTTTGTGTTGTTTATTCACACATTAAGATTCTTTTCCTTCATTAACACAGAGAGTGCGAAGAGTAAAATCAGACACTAGAGCAGCAATATGACAGCATTTCTGGTTCAGTGTGGAAATAACACGGCTGTGTGACAGTAGGTTAAAGTCGCATGTTTTAAATTTTTTTCTGAAGCACTTCAAGCACTAGCAAACGTCTCATTTGACAATCAGGCTTTTTTTTTTTCTCTTGTGAATCCAGATGCAGCTGTCTATGCTCAGAGTATCCAACTTGGACAACAAAAGCAGACTATTTCCTCCACCCTGAAGCACCTGAACCCCTCGACAACAGCAGACTGTGCATGCAAATGGAAGACGGGATAAAGCAGGCACAGTGAATCAAACAAGGTGCAAGAGCTGGACTTTAGATTTAGCTAAAGGCCAACTGAAAAAAAAAACTGACATTACATCTCTAGGCAACAAATTACGCAACCTGAAATGCCATTTGAAATTCAAAGATATCTGTTCTGAAGGCAACCTTTTGGCCTGAAAAACAAAGCAAGTAAGGAAGAGAACAAATACAGCAGGCCCTGGATTGTCTTTTTGAGTGTTGGTTGGATGACAGCTGGCTGTTATGATTAAATTTCTGTTTCTGAAGTTACCCTGTGTGTGTTTAAAAATGTTGGCGAGCAAGACTCAACGCTGTCAAGTTCTGTGAGCTCTTTTAGCTTCGCAGCCCAACAGATGATCAGCTGTGGGGAGCTACGACCACAAACAGAAACTTATTCTAATATATTGACTGCACAGCTCAAATACTTGAGTGTTTGCTAACCCCTGACTCTTCCTCAGTATTGCTCTCTCTATCTAGAGTATAAAATAAGAGGAGAGCACAGTAAGATCGAGATTCGATTGAGATGCCAATGAGAAACAACCACTTTGGCAATGCAATACAAAAAACTGTTTCAATTATAATGTTACATACAAGAGGAAGTGTCGATCTGGATGAGGGGTTGCAGCTTGGCAGTAGCCATTGTTGTCAGTGTTTGCATGCAGCTGTAGGAAGAAAGTCGAGAGAGATGAACAGCTGACTGACTTGTTGTTCTGGGTTGGCTGGAGACCAGACTCGCTGATGGGTTATAGATTAACTTTAGAGGTTTAAATGCTCATGCACAGAGGAGGCGGGCCAGTAAGTAGTAGTCAATATGTGATATTACAGTACAAGGGCCCGCAGGAGCTGTGTTGCATGTTTTGTCAGGTAGGATTTATCTGTCTGATGTTATGGAGAGTGAATTGTGGGCATGAGTTCATTTAATCCAAGCTGGATATTGATACATGGCTGTATGAAGGTAATAACTGGAAAGAAAAAAGCTTGGTTTTAGATAGGCTGCAATTATTTATGTAGAAAAATCGGCAAGGCATAATGAGATACAAGCTGAGGCACTTGTGTCATCTGTGATCCTGAGTGAGATGGCCTATATTCAGAAAAGAAGGGGACCAAGCACTGACCCTGGAGGGATCCCTGCTGATAACTAATGCAGTTTAGACTCTCCATCTTTCCTTTAAATGATCTCCCAGTGAGGTAAGATGCAAACAACTGGAGGGTAGATCCTGAGATATCAAGTTCAGAGAGTGTGGAATAGAGGGAACCGAATCCAACACGTTTCAACTAAAGCTGTAACATACAAACCCCAAAGCACTGAAGACCAGGATTAGCACCCTTTGTTTGGTGTTTGATTAGATCATTAATGCTTAAATAAAAACTATTAACACAGTCTCAGTGACATTAGCCAGTGGATCTGAGGAGGCTTGAAGATTGTGGTCATCATATTGGGTATTAACTTAACTTTGATTTATCTAGGCAAAGCTTTGCACAGCAAGATTAAGAAGTTAGGCTTTTATTGTGATTCAGCCAAATGTTAAGAGAGCGGTCTCCGTTTTGGTCTTGTTTATTTTGTCAATATTTAACAAAGACTACAGTCTTTTTCCAACTTAAACTATTTGTTGCAGAGAAAAAACATTGACAAAACTTTCAATACTTTTGCCTCTGGAGAATATTTTGTATTCTATGATTGGATGTTGTTGGACCCCAATTAAAATCCATATTCAGAGAGTATTTTACTGACCAAAGTTCAGTATCAACTTTTTTGCATATTGCCTAATACTATGATCACTGCTTCCTAATTATATCCACAGAAGTGTAATCCAGGTGGGTTGTCTTGAATAACAAAGCTTTCTTTTCTGTTTCAAATTAGTTTTATTTAAACATATTTTCAAGGAGACAGGGGATTAATAGTTTTGTTGCGGAAAATCTTCCTGAAACTCGGATGAAAGCAGAAACCCCAGAGGAAGATATCTCAAAACAAAGATTGTCTGCTCAGCTCGATAATACCAGGAGTTTGTAAGAAATTATGTTTTCTGTATTTTGTTTTTGTTAGCTGACCTAATCCAAGCCTTGATTAATACACACAGTGCAGTGCTTTAAAAACAATCATATTTTCTGAAACTTAAGTGGAGGTATTTGTTTGTGTTTACCAAGTGTATATTTGCCTGGTGTTTTCATATGCGTTATGCACAGATTTCTGCACCCGTTAGCATGCTTCGTTATCTCTTCACACACCTTAATGAGCCAGTTCCTGAGGATTGGACCAATTAGTCTCAGTAATCTGGTCAATTTAGCCATTCTGCTTTCTCCTCAGGGTGTTCAACTCCAGGAAATCACAGTAACGCTCTCCCCATTCGATGCCAAAGCATTGACAGCATGCAAGGAGGTGGAATGGAGGGGTTTGTGTGGAAGCTGGCGGTGGGGGTTGCGAGGCTATCGGACGTTCGATATCATAATGGTGCATTACAGCCCCGAGTGCTCCCTGAGCGCCGCAACTAGCTACACCTGAGGTCAGACGGAGTATCATTTAGCCCTGATAGAAGCATCTGTGCTTTGAGCAGGTATTATCTCCCACAGGCATTATCGTTTAATTGCAGGTGTAGCAGGTACACAGGGTTAGCAGGGGTTATCCGTAATGCGAGGCAGAGTGGTTATAGCCATGTATCACCGTCACTCTTTTCTCCATTAGACTGAACCGTGCGTCGCCGTATCGATCCCCGAGCCTCATTTGCATCCAATAGGCCGCACAATTATCAAAGCTTTAATGAAGATTTTACATCTTTGTCCGGATCTGCTGTGACCTATGCATCGAGACGTGTGGTCCATCACCTCGTGCACCTTCCTCGTGACCCCCTCGCTCCACTGTGTCTCATTATGTGGTGACATCCGAGCTGCTAGCATAACTTCAATCTAGCATAATTAGCTTCTGGTTATAATTAAGGCACCTCTCTTGGCTCTCCACTATCTGA